TACTTTCAATTTTGTTGTTATGTTTTCTTTACTTCATCCTCATGCCTTTACATATGGAATTAGTTTCATTCTTGTTAATTAAGAAAAAAATGCTCCCTAGATTTCTGAAATTTATTTGTTAGTAGTACTTTTAGGGTGGTTGTCAATTCTGAGTTCAGCTTTAGTTCACGAAATTGTGATATGAGAGTGGTTGCGATTGCTTCCAGTGAACATTAGAGTAATAACCATATTACATGGTTGCATAAATGATTGCTCTAAAAAAAACATTATTATTTGGTCATTGTTATACCATATTCATCATTATTTATTTATAAAATTTATAGTAATAACTATCATCTCAAATTCACAGTATAACTTTTAGAATAATTTTTGAGTAAACTATCAATGTTTAGTGAAACTTATTTCAAAAATTAGATAAAAATCCATCAAAAGAAGGATCAGTAACATATACTACGTATTATTTAAAATTCAAAACTAATTAGACTCATCGAGAAATTTTGTGACCAATCAATATAAATTATAAATATATATTATGATTATTTACTAAAGGAAGAAATCCTAGTCTCATGATTTTTAAAGAGGTCAGCAAAACCGCAAAATGTAAAATTGTTGGGATCTAGATTGTCGGGATCAAGAATAATCTCTATTAGTTAGGATTGAAAATGTTCAGTTTGGGACAAATGCCTAATAGTTTTAGAAGTTTGATATCGGAACATAAAAGATTAATCTATGTAAGGAATTATTAAGTAAAAAAGGTATGCAAATATTTAAATACATTTTCATTATATATATATATATATATACACACACACACACACACACACACACATAGTGTCGGGATGTCGAGTTTTAAAAGAAAAAAACATCCTGGTCCCGTCTCGACTTAGTAGGGATCGGGACCAATTCCCGACTAGTCAGGATCGGTAACATCGGGATGGGGATTGTTGGGATCGAGATTACTTTGATATTGGAACATAAAATAAAGATTAATCTACGTAAGGAATAACTAAGTAAAAAAGATATGCAAATATTTAAATACATTTTCATTTTTTTATAAATATATATTCATATATATATATATAGAGAGAATTCCCCAAATAGGAGTAAAAGATAGGCAAAATGCAAAAATAGGAGTACCATGTTTTGAATAGGAGTAACTTTAGTGTTTAGACAAGTATATCCCTACCCAAGTCCCAAGAACTTTCATTAATAATTAAAACATATAAGGAATAACATTAATTTATAATAAAATTGTAAAAAATGAAAAAACACAAAAATATATCAAATAAAACATACTTCGTATTAAATAAAATTAATAAAAATAAAAATTATTAAAATAAAAAATATTAAATAAAAAACTAAAAAATTAAAAAAAAAATTAAAAAAATATGTAGGCGTCTGCCGCCGCCTCAATTACCTCACAGCACCACCAGCTCCGACCACCGAAAAAAATGCCAACATTTTTCCGAAATGCCATCATGATGGCAGATTTTGAGAAAATTTGGCATTTTCAAAGAGCAAAACTGCCATCTTTATGGCATTTTCAAAGAAAAATGGAAGTTTTAACATAAGATGGCATTTTTTCCACCGATCGGAGGTGACATTGCTGGGTGATGGCCGAGGTTGCGGCAAAGGCCTGCATATTTTTTCTATATATTTTATAATGTGGTTTATCTATTTTTTATTTATTTTCAAAATTTTTTATTTTTTATTTTTTTTTAATTTTTATTATTTCAATATATTTTTTCAAATATTTTAGAATTTTTTTTATATTTTATTAGGATCAAATAAGTCATATTTTAGAATTAACTAGGTTAGGGGTATTAAGGGTACAAAATTAATGTTTACTCCTGTTGAAGGAAGTTTTAATTTTCACTCCTATTTGAGCAATTATGTTTATGTTTACTCCTATATTGGGAAATTTCTCATATATATATGTATGTATGTATGTATGTATGTATGTATGTATGTATGTATGTTGAGATGGGATCGGGACGAATTTCCGACTAGTTGAGATGGGGAATATCGGAATCAGGGTTGTTGGGATCAGGATTGGGAGTCGGATTCCGGGGAAAATTCTCACCCTAGCCTTAATAGTATAAGTTGGTAGTGTTTGAAAAAAGTGTTTCTAAAAAAGTAAAATTTGGTAATGTTTGGTAAAATAAGTGATTTTTGTGTAGTAGAAAAAAAGTTTAAAACGGTTTAAAGCACCTTTCCGCCTGTTTCAAACTTTTAGCTTTTAAGTGATTAATTTATGCAAAAGTTAACACTTGAAAACACTCATTTCAGCTTTTTTTAAAGCAAAATCTGAAAAACATTTTTTTATTAATATTTTGTAAACACTTTTTTAATGGGAAAAATTGAAAATAATAATCCCAACTATTGCTTTTAAGTGATTAATTTATGCAAAAGTTAACACTTGAAAACACTCATTTCAGCTTTTTTTAAAGCAAAAGATGAAAAATATTTTTTATTAATTTTTTGTAAACACTTTTTTAATGGGAAAAATTGAAAATAATAGAAATAATTACATAAATATGACCAAAATAAAGATGGTTTACAAAAATATGATTCATTACTAGAGTAGTAATGAAATCATAGTAATTCATGTTCAAGTTTTGAATTTTAGTTACCACAGCACTACGTTGTAGTAATGAATAGTCATATTTATGTAAATAAGTTTTATTTTAATAATATTCTCGTAAAAAAACCCAAAATAATAATCCCAACTATTGCTGGTCCGCTAACAATAATCCCAACTATTGATTATTTTTGTATAATCCCAACTATATGAACCGTCCGCCAATAATGTCCCATGACCAGATATTACCTTCTATAACACATGAATTTTAAATAGTAATTAAGCGTAAAAATTAAAAGTTGGAATTATTTATAGGATTACTTGCTATATCTCTTCTCATCCACTTTAGAAACTATATGAAATTAATAGCCTGTCCCATCAGACCATTATTGGCGGAAGGTCCCTAAAGTTGGGATTATTCTGAAATAATCGATAGTTGGGATTATTCTGGAATATCCCTAGATTGCTTCCTAGATTTTTGTTTTGAAATAATTGAGTAAACCTACAATTTAACTAAAAACCACCATTTTCTCCTTCTAGTTTTATATTAGATTCTTGCCTGTGTATTGTTGTTTTAACTAAAATTTGCTTTTGATTATGACATATTCTCATTAGTTGTTAATACTAATTTATTAATCTCATGTTCTCCCTGAGTTGTTGCAAATGATGTTATTTTAGACATTCAATTTAGACATTACACCTAGCTCCCCACTTTCATATTCTTTGTAATTGTGGTCCGCCGCTGAAATTAATTATTTGTAAGACTACGGAAGCGTAATACAAGCATAATCATCTTGTTGTGGGTTTCCTGAACTTGTGCACTCTGTATGATATGAATATAATGTCGGAATATTTGGGTGGGATATACAACTTTAATTAAGTACATTTAAAGTTATGTTATATATTTGTATAAATAAAACAAATAGCCTAACTAACTAATTTACAAAGATAAAACTAACGGTTGGTCGGTTTCATATAGTAACTACTACCTCCGTCCCAAAAAGAGTTGCAAATTTGACTTTTCTTAGTCAAACAGTCTCGTTTTGTTCACTTAATTAGGATATCAATTTTTAATTATTTTCTAATTTGGAATTTACAACTTTGAAGAGATTTTAATGTAGTTTTTGAATATGTAAATTTTAATTATTAAAAATTGAATTAATTATGTGTAGGTGGGGTTGACTTTTATTATTGGTTGACCAAAAAATGTTGACTTTGCAAAACAAATTGGGACGGAGGGAGTATAATAATGCGGCCTTATAAGAAGTGTTATGCACGTTTTTTACACCCACAAGTGCTATGTACTTTAAAAAAGCATAATATGTGTTATTAACTTGTCTTCTCATATTTATTTATGCTATATACCCATTTAACCTATTACGGTAATACTAAATTTAGTTGGTGCGTAATGGTAATGGATATGTTTGGCGTAATGGAAGACAATATTTAAGTGAAGCTCAAAGTTTTAAATTTTAAGTACTCCACAATGCTTTTGAGTTAAGGTAAAGTAATGCCGTTCACTTTTGAAACAAATCGTAAAAGGTAATGAAACTTGCACCAATTTTTATATGCAACGCCTATTCAATAACACGAAAGGAAACAAATGCTAGTATTTTTGGTAATAAATGTTTCTATGTTAAGCTCTTTAATGAGTGAACATTACAGGACAGTCCGTTACCAAGATTAGAAGCAAACATTAATTTTCTACACTTAATACCCCTAATTTAATTCTTTTGGGACTAAAGCTTGGATGTTTTTGTTGTTGTAATACTTCTAATCTAATTAATCAATTGCCCCCTAGTTCCATTGCATAATCAGGTCAGTCCGGTGGTGGCGGGACAATCCGGCGGTGGCAGCAGAGCTCCAGCGACTTGCGTCAGCTTCAAGCTGATCTGATAGCAAATTCATTCCGGACTGCCCTGATTATGCAAGGGATTTAGAGGAGCAATTAGTTAATTAATCTTAGATTAGGGGTTTTAACGGTAGAAAATTAATGTTTGCTCCTATTTAGGTAAGATTTAAGTTTTACTCCTATTTATGCAATTATGTTTATGTTCACTCCTATATAGGCCAGGGCAATTTTTGTTTCTTTTTTTTGGTTGCATTTCTTCTTGGAATGTAAAGTTCTCAATACTCTTATATGACACAAAATACTCTGCTTGGGTCTATTTTCATCTCACATCACTCTAATTTAAGTGAAGAATTATAAAATGAACACTACTAAACTTATTGGAAATATAGTTTGTGTATTAGTTGTAGGCTACTAGCTACAGTTATTCTAAAATATTTGTACACTTGTCTGGTTTATGTTTTTGACTTAATTATGCCATATGTATTTTATTTTTAAACTTTTTATAAGCATCAATTTTTGTGAGAAAGCTACACTTTGCTTTGTGCTTTCGCTTTAAGCTAAGTCTCACCTCATTGCTTTTGTGTGTTCTTCGTTTTAAAAAAGTTTGGTACTTAGGTCCGTGAGAGTTAATCCACGTCAAAACCTAGTCTCATCCCTATGGCATGTACGCATTTACCAAATTGTGAATGTGATGCACATTTGTTCCTTGCTAGCCGACCCCTAATAATTTTGGGACTAAGGCTATGTTGTTTTTGGGATTAGAAAATCTGAAATAGGCCTAATTGGTGAATAATTGTTGAATTAGTGCAGAGTGTGAAATGATAATCTTGAATTATATTTATTGTTCTTTAGTATTATGCTACAAATTGCAATGTGTTAGTGTTAATTGATAATGATTATGATCATTGAGTAAATCCATCTTATTGTATTTATAATTTTTTAGGTTTATAAGTTATTTAAGGATTGATGGATTTAGAGAAGTATTTGGATGTGTACACGAATTTGACAAGGGAAGAACTTGAGAAAATTATGGATCTTGTTTGCTATGGGAGGGATCTTGATTGGTGTGAAAGGGCTCTTAGTTGGCAGGCAAAATTTCTTCACGAGAGTAGGGAAAGAGTGAAGATACATGGTAGACCAGCTCTTCTTTCTAGTCCCCTGATTCAAGTGTTTTCAGTTAGTGTCCAACTTAAACAGGAGGTTAAACCTCTTTCTATTTATGGAAGAATTGGCGTTGAGTTTCCCGATTTTACTTATGGAGGGATAGCTGGACATGAATTGTACAAGCGTGAGCGTAATATTCCTCAATTCCTTAACACAAGTGACACACTTATATTAAATGGCCCTCTCTATACATGTGATCCACTTCATGCATGCATGCCACTACATAGGAATAAGATAGATGTCAAACTTTTTTGTGGAGAGGACAAGGTGTTTGCATTTGAAAGCTTTTCTTTGGAGGATAATGGAAGTGACTATGAAGAGGTTAAGTCTAGGGTTATCAACTGTGAACAAGGGTCTCTCATTATGAGCTACATTGTCATTCCCTTTGGCGTTTTCTGTCGCTTAGAAGTTAAGTTTAGTAACAGACAAACATCGGAAAAGCGTGACTTTGTTGACATTAATGGAAAAGTTAGTGTTCGTTATGCCAATACCTATGGCAGTTATGCTTTGGAAGAAAGCATTCTTTTTGAGAAGGAAGTCCATGAATATGAACGAGTAGAAATTGATCAGAATATGCTACTTGCTAGATATTGGGTAGCTTTGCCGGCATACTCCTTTTCAGTTGTTGATCTAGACTTGTCAGAATTTGTAAGTGGCCGAAAGATCATCAGTGACACAATGGAGTTTCTAGCTCAACCGGAAGGAATGTATGGCGACACGTTTGTATCGGATGATCTTTTCATCGAAGTATCTGTGGCATGGTTCACACCTTCACCGATGGGGCCACAATATGATAAGGCAAGTTCTGTGTGTTTTGGTTATTTTTTTCACTCGGTTTCATTTCACCTATTTCTTCTTGTTGCACTTGCAGTGTACTTTCTATTTCTTTGTTTTTCTTTTTTGTTTTTTATGTCCATTGGGAATGTAGCTCAAAAGAGGCATCATTAACAATTCTTCTCACTTTATGTTAATAATAGAATATATCAAAATGACTCAATTAATTTCCGATGCTTATTGTTCGAAGTGACCCCTGAACCCAATTTAGTTTGGAAATAAACTGGGTATGTTGTTGTTATTCCGTTATGTTATTATTTCCTTATTAATGCTTTGATTATGAGTTTTTGTTTTTTCTTTTTCTATTTTTTTTGTTGATCTCTCTCATTATTAGTTTGATTTGCATGTTTACTATGTTCTCCTGTCTTCACTTCTGATGTAGTACTATTTTCTTCTCAGTTTTCATGTAACATAGATGAAATCCCCATGGAGGAGGATACTGATGAGGAGGATACGGATGAGGAGGATACTGATGAGGAGGATACCTATGAGGAGGATGAGGTTTATCCTTTTCCTTTTCATTTGTTTTTTGCTTTTTCTCTTTATTATATTTTCCTTACTCACTCTTAACTCATATTCCCTTGAGCTGATATATGGTTCTCTCGTTCTTTTCAGCCTTCTAGTGATGAGACACCATCCAACATCAACTTCACTAGGTATGTGTCCCTCGAATATCTCCCCAAAAATATTTTAGGTGCTCTATACTCTATAGCACTTTTCATATGTTGCGTGGATTGGATAGAGTTATGGTATGTGACTTTGGTACCAAACTTGAATGGAGACTCGATCAATATTGGAACTTGATAGAGTTATGGTATGTTGTTGTGTTGTATTTAGTGTTATAATTCTGATAGAGTTGTGGGAGTTTAGGGTCTTACGGTTGGTATAAGACAGTTGGTAAACCCGATCAGAACTTACTAAAAGTTGCCTTAAAGCTTATTTGGTGATTTGTATGACATAATCTATGTCTATACCTGCTTATGCTTGGGTATGCATAGTTTAATTGTCCTGTATTGACTTTAGGGGTGTGCACTGGTTCAAAACCCGATCAGAACTTGCTAGGACTAGAACCAGAATCACTGTTTTGTCCAGAACGGACACCAACCTGATACCGACCAGCTCCGATATGTTTGGACCTGTTTTATGGTCGGTTTAACCCTAATTGGACTAATATTTAAATATCCAAGGACCTGCAAAATAATGTTTTATAAAACTATGTTGTAAAACCTAGACCAGAGAGTGGCCCGGAGGAATGACCTGGTCAAGGGTCGACCTGGACCCAGCGAGTCAACCCAGTCAATGACCGGAAAACCCGGTCAACACATATACTTATACACATATATAAGGTTAAGTTCATAAATACCAAAATCTTATTCCTTCATAAATTCATGTTGATAACACATTATAATCCAAATAAAAATCATTTTTTTGAAAGATAAAAATGATTATTTTAGAATTGGATTGGACAAAATTGAAAATACATTTGAATATAGATAGACAATAAATATAACATGCCATCAATATACATTTGATGGGTTTTTATGAGTTTTATCACTTTAGCGGGTTGACGGTCAACTTGACTGGATCGTGGGTCAGGTGGCCGGGGTTCTGGGTCGACCCGCCCGGTTCTGTTCGGTTCTTAAAAACATAGGTATAAAACAACATTTGCGCAACAAAGATATGCTACAAACAAGAAAGCTATACTACATATCCAACAAAGCTAAAGTTAAACTACATATGGGTCTCCAATTTAGTTTATTTAGGCTATGTTTGGCGGAACGGGCTGGAGCTGGGGGCTATTGTCTGAATTAAGGGCTATTGTCTGAATTAGAGACAATTGTCTGGAACTGAAATTTGAAGTGCTGAATCTGAATTGCTAGCTGAATGGAGTATACTCGTTTGGCAAAAAGAGCTGAAAAAGTGTCTGAATAATATAAAATTACATTAAAGGGCATACGAATTATTAATAGAATAAATATATTTATTATAATAATTTTTAAATTTTAAGTTTTTTAAAATTTTAGTGTATGTATACACACGTCTGTGTATATTTACATAATATTTTTCAATGATACCATCGTGATTATGTAGTTGTATATCGATGCATTCATGTATGCATACATCATTTCATAACTCATCAATTAATCAAGATATTTAGGGATTCAAAGCTAATGTTATATATCGATGCACTCATTGGTGGTGGGTTATAAATAAAGCCATAAAGAATGAAGATATACACACGCGTAGTTGGGTACACATACGGTAGTGGAGTTGTCCTTTGAGAATTAACAATCATCCAGATATCGATGATTAATAAATACGTTAGAGGGATAGAATTGGAACTGAGGTTCTTAAAACATGCGACTGAACAGTGAACACTAACGCTTGCTGCCGCAGCGTTTTAATTCAGTTCAAAAACTTCAGCTTAAGACCTCTTCAGCTCTTCAAACGAACGTGATTACTTTTACCATAATTGACTGGATGCAGAATATTTCAGTCCTTTTTGAGCTTATGTGGCTTGCCAAACATAACCTTACTACATAAGAATCTGTACATCTCACCCCCTTACCTCACTGTAGGTGGGAGCCCTGTAGGTGGGAGCCCTTTGCGACAGTGGGGTACTGACAATGATGATGGCTACATAAAAATCTAGTTACATATTTCTAAACCTACTTAACCAATCTAAAATATTCAGGGTTCCTCTCCGGTGTCAGTTCCGGTCCAACAGTCCCTATTTGGTCTAGTCAACTACCCAACGGTCCGGTCTGGTTATTGACCCGACGGTCCATGTACGGTCCGGACGATGGCCGAGCAATACCGGTTCAGTCTGGTCGATGACCCGACAGTCCCGGTCCGGTCGATGACCTTACAGTCCCGGTCCGGTCGATGACCCGACAGTCCTTATCTGGTACGGTACACGACCCGCTGGTCCCTGTCTGGTCCAATCTACGACCAAGCCACCCTGTCCGGCCCGGTCCACAACCTGGCGGCCCCTGCCCGGTCTGATCGATGAGCTGACGCTCCCTATGCGGTCCAATCCATGACCAGGCAGTACTTGTTCAATCCGATTGACGGCTAGGCCATCCCTGTTCGATCGACGGTCAGGTCGTCCCGGTCCGATTTGGTCTAGTCAATGACTCAGCGGTCCCCGTCCTGGTCCAATCATGTCTGGTAAATGACCTAACGACCTGTGTTCAGCCTGATCAACAACCGGCGGTCCCGAGCCAGTCCCATAAACGGCCCGATAGTCCCTATCCAGGCCGGTTAGTGACCTGGCGGTTCGATCTCAGTTTTTCGAAATCATTTTGTAAAATGAAGAGTTTTAAAAGAGCCGTTGAGTTGTCAACCGATAGGAAAATGAGAAAAGAGTTCATCAAACTAACTGTTGAGATCGACCGGGACCGGCCGATTTTGGTTCCGGATTAGGACCGCACTTTTGGTATTTTGGTCGGTCACAGAACCGGGTGAAAAAATTGTATGCACATGTTTTCATATTTGAAAATGGAAAACTTAAAAGTGAAAATAAAAAATTGGAGATAGAAAAACTGGAAAATGAAAAAAAAATTGGAGAATGGAAAACAAAAATAGAAAACTGCAAAAGATCTCTGTTCATAAAGAGACCCTAAACTTTGAAAGCCTGCTGATTTGAAAACAATGCATTCACCCAAGAGGTAAGAGTATATTCTTTAGTTATCAATGTTATGGTATAAGCAACTTGTGAACAATCCGAATTCCGGAGCAAAAAAGCATGCCAAATGCATAGGGTAAAAAAGCAACATAGAGAATGAAAATAACCCGATCTCCGAAATGTATTTGGTAAAAATTTAAGAAAAATCTCCGTTAAATCATTTATAAGATTACTAATTTCATAATTTTGTAGTTTATGTTGGGTGTGTTTCGAAAAACAAAGAAAATTAATTAAAATAAATTAATTAATAAAATGACAAAAGAAAACAGAAATGAGATGGAGCAGAAATTTGTCAAAGCTCGTGCTACGCACGATGTCCTTAAAACGTATTTGTTGCCTCCCACGGTGTTAGGAGCGTTGCAACAATAGTTTCCCAGGATACGATGACAACGAACTAATGTTTGAGCACACAAACAAGAGTTCCAACGAACGAGAACAAAAGTTGAACACAAAGGGAATTTTCGGAATGCTGGAGGTGTATTTGAGCTAGAAAACACGTGAAGTTCGTATTGTTTGTTGTTGTGTTGTTGCAAACCACCTGCAGCCATTTATAGGGAAGATTTGTTGTGTGTTTAATGGAGGTTTAATGGATATGAACGTTGGTAATCAATGTCCAGCACGTTGGCATTGATTCTAGTCCAAAAAACCGTCCATTTATTGCAAAGGAACGTTGGGCATTTATGGAGTTGTAACGTCCCAGCAGTGGGCTGCGGCAGACGTCTCAGCAGCAGGCTGCTACGGACTGTCCTGCCGGCAGCAGGCTGCTGCCGACTATCCTGCCGGCAGTGGGCTGCTAGAGCAGCCGGCTGCTACCCCATTTCAACGGGCAAACTTCGAAAATCGATATTTCATTCACCCGTTATCCGTTTTGAGTGTACCACGTATCGAATTGTAGTCCTTAACAAGGACAATCCAAAACCACTTTGACCCGACCCAAATCAGAAGTGGACCCCACTCAAAAAATTGCCCCAAAATGACCATTTAATGCAATTTACTAACACATTTTCCAACAATCCCCCACATGAATGAAAATTGATTTTCGAGACTTAAAAATGACACGAAGATAGGAGGGCACGTTGTGTTCACCGGATGATCCTTGCATGCGGAGAGGTAGGTTTAATCCTTTGAACCTTCCGCTGTAAAGACACGTTTATTTACTGGCTGTCTAGTAGACTCGATGTCTTTGAACTATACTGCCGTCGTGTAAACATTGACTTATCTTTACACAAGAACCTTCCAACTTTGTTCCGTTCTCATGGGTGTGCCCGTTTTGGCCATGGGTCACCGTCCTGGTTCTGCAAGAGTTTCTAAAGAACTGAGCCTTTACAGTTCTCCTTTGAAGCGGCCCTCTTCTCTCTCACATAGTTGATTCTTTCACGAGTATCCCGCATACTCTTCCAATGTTATCGAGTAGATCAACATTTTAGAATCATTAAAGCAAACGTTTTTGCTAACCTCGTGCGGGAGTCACTGTTTCAACGAGGAGTGGCTAGGAGTCCGGGACCCCCACAGTGACCATCCTTCGCTCTATAATTTAGTTGTCCCATTTGAACCTAGGACCAACTAGGTTGGGTATCCACTATAGAACTTTTCAATTCACGGGCTTTAGTCCCATTCCTCGTGACAACTTCTCCAACAATTCTCTATCCAATGCCTTGATTAGCGGATCCGCTATGTTATCCTTCGACTTTACGTAGTCAACAGTGATAACACCCGTTGTGAGGAGTTGTTTAATGGTGTTATGTCTACGACGAACGTGTCTAGACTTACCATTGTAGAGATTGCTCTGTGCCCTTCCAATTGCCGCTTGACAATCGCAATGTATACATATTGGAGGGACAGGCTTCTCCCAACTTGGAATATCCTCGAGAAAATGGAGTAGCCATTCAGCCTCTTCAGTGCACTTATCCAAGGCTATTAGCTCAGATTCCATCGTGGATCTAGCTATTAACGTTTGCTTCGAGGATT